TCATTGTGACCACTCCAGCGTCTTGTGCGTCCTCTAGGAAGCCCAAGAAGAATGGCAGTGGGCATATTTGACAATTAGCTTGCCTTTCATCCTGGAACCAGTCTAGGCTTCCTCTTGTGGGGCTAGACCAAGCTCACGTGGGTGACACTGGTCTAAACCCACAGCCTAATTCCCCAGGTTGGGCCTGGGCGCCCTCTCGTGTCAGTGTTAGCACACCTCCACTGTGCAAACTACACATGATGGGCCACACTTGCTCCACGGGGCCCTGCCACCTCCTCTACTCTTCCTCTGTCTCCCTGCCCCACCCACACTTCTACCCCTGCCCCCAGAGTGAGGGAAGCACTTTGCTCCTGGGCACACCTGCCATTTTACCCTTCATTTGTGTGACTGTGATGCTTCCTGGAAGTCTTATTTATAGAAGTATTTATGCAAGCTGCTGTCTGTCTCCTCCGTTAGATTCTCAGTTCCTTGAACTGGAGAGTGTGGATTATATTCATACCACCAGTGTCTTGCATTATGTATAAACATTATGTGCTCACTACAAGCTTGAGGCCTGCAAAAACCGTATGTGTGTTTGAGCAGGAAAAGAAAATAGACTAAAGTGAATTCCACAATCACAGTAGGTTTTACATTTTTAAAAGATGCTTTACATTTTAAAGATTTTTTTTTTTTTTGCCAGTCATAGGGCCTGAATTCTGGGCCTGGGCGCTGTCCCTCAGCTCTTCATCTTAAGGCGAGCACTCTACCACTTCTGGTTTTTTCTGCTTATGTGGTGCTGAGGAATTGAACCCGGGGCCTCATGCATGCAAGGCAAGCGCTCTACCACTGAGCCACCTTCCCAGCACCTTTAAAGATGTTTTGTGATAAAAATGTTCCTTTTCTAAACTAGAATGATTGGAAAGTACTTTAAAAAAAAAGAAGTTTCAAGGTGCTGGGAAGGTGGTTCAGAGGTAGAGCATATGCCTTGCATGTGTGAGGCCCTGGGTTCGATTCCTCAGCACCACATAAGCAAAAAGAAAAAAGCTGGAAGTGGCGTTGTGGCTCAAGTGGTAGAGCACTAGCCTTGAGCTGAAGAGCTGAGGGACAGTGCCCAGGTCCAGGGTTCAGGCCCCACGACCGGACCCGACCCCCCAAAAAGAGTTTCAAATGGCTCAATGGTCAGTGGCTTCTTTTCTAATTCTTATTGTTATTATAAGGTGATGCATAGATGGGTTACAGTTACATAAGTCAGCTAAAGAGTACATTTTCAGTTGGTTCTTCTTTTTTTTTTAATCAGACCTTGTGCTTGAACTCTGTGCCTGGGCAGTGTTCCTGAGCTTTGTGCTCAAGGCTAGCACTTTACCACTTGAGCTACAGGGCCACTTCCGGCTTTTTGATGGTCAATAGGAGATAGAGTCTCATGAACTTTCCTTCTGGGCTGGGTTTGAACCTCCATCCTCAGATCTCAGTCTCCTGAGTAGCTAAGATTACGGGCATGAGCCACTAACCCAGCTTCTTCTTGTTTTTGAAATAATATCTTACTATGTAGTCCAGGATCCTCTCAGACGTGATCTTCTTGCCCTATCCTGCCGATTGCTGAGATTACATGTGTACACTACCACAAGTAGCTACAATCACAGGCGTTTGAACATGTAAAAAAAAAAAAAAAAAAAACCAGGTGCTGGTGGCTCACGCCTGTAATCCTTACTCAGGAGGCTAAGATCTGAGGATTGCAGTTCAAAGCCCAGGCAGAAAAGTCAGTGAGACTGTTATCTCCAATAAACCACCAGAAAGCCAGAAGTGGCACTATGGCTCAAGTGGTAGAGAGCTTGCCTTGAGCTGAAGAGCGCAGGGACAGCACCCAAGCCCAGAGTTCAAGCCCCCCGACCAACAACAGCAACAAAAAAATACATTTATGAGGACAATGAGAGAGAAAGCCTGCCAGCCATCATTTAATACTTAGTGAGTGTAAGAAGAGAGATTTGAATTCAGATCCAGCATTCTACCAAGGGAAAAAAAAGAGCTTTCCACCTTTGGGAGCATAAGTGATAGTTTTGGATCTGTCTGGAGGAAATGGCTCAGTATCAGCAACTGGTGTTCCTCATTTTTCTCAGTGTCAAGAATCTCAGTTAGGCCAGGTGCTGGTAGCTCATGCCTATAATCTTAGCTAGTCCAGAGGCTGAGATCTGAGGATCATGGTTCAAAGCCAGTCTGGGTAGGAAAGTCTGTGAGACATTTATCTCCAATTAACCACCAGAAAACTGGAAGTGGAGCTGTGGCTCACAGTGGTGGAGCACTAGCCTTTAGCAAAACAGCTCAGAGACAGTGTTCAGGCCCTGAGTTCAAGTCCCATGAAGGGCCAAATAAAAAAGAATCTCAACTAGGACAAAGACTGACTTGTTCATACCAGAGTATAATCTGAAAACTAGATTGAGGGCTGTACCATTTTGCTTAAAATAAAATTGAAAATGAAAAATTAGGCCTGTCTACAGGATTGGGAAAGAGCCTTGATAGGCCATAGAGTCTCTAAGTTCACTTTGGAACTACACTCTAAGCACATATAAAACCTGGTTTATTCTCTATTACTATGAACAGCAGCTTAATTTGATTCGTTTGCCTTACTTATCTTTCTGACATGTGAGTTGGAAATCTTTCAAAATGTAGAAGGAAGTCCCGAAATAGCACCAAGAACTCAAGACAAAAGCTCAGCATCAAGCCCTCTCCCCGCTCCTCCCATGGCTCCCTGTTTCCTTGTTCCCCAACTCCTCCCCCCTGCACGCTTGCTACACACCTGTCCTTGCTTGCATTTACTTGAGCCAATTGAAATTAATGCGTTACAAGCAATTGTCTTTTTAGCTAGGATTTCCTCAAACTGGGGCATTCCCCCCTCCTAACCACCATGACAATATGGCCCACAGGAGAGCTTTGTTTCTTTCTGATAAACATGCCTTTTGTTTTCTTTCTGCTTGTCCAGAACTTGCCATCGTCCTGTCTCTTGACTCCTGAGTGCCAGGATTATAGGTGTACATCACCACTCCCCACCATGCCTCTTGATGAATAGTTTATATTCAAATGTCTCCAAATGCCTTAGTGTTTCTCATTTCTTCTTCTCTTTCCTTTTTTCTCCCCCTTTATATTGGATTAAACCCAGGACCTCACACATGCTAGACTAGTGCTTTGAGCCTCAAGCACTTCTTCAACCCCTTTTGGCTTTGTTTATTGTCCTTTTGGGGGGTTTGAATAACTTTGGTCAAAGTCTTTGCAACTTGACATAGAGCACTTGCTGGGTCACACAGTAGGCCTCTCTCTCTCTCACTCTCTCTCTCTCTCTGTTGGGGATCAAACCCAGTGCCTAGCCTGCTGGGTAAATATTTTACCACTCAGCCCTCTGAGATCTGTGTAGAAAAGAAGCCTTCAGTTTTTTGGTTGGTGTGTTTGTTTGGCCTGGGACTAAACATCTGGAGGATGAGTGGTCACCAGCAGCTCTGTGTGTGTGTGTGTGTCTGTCTGTCTGTCTGTCTGTTGTCCATGTGTGTCCGGGTGTGTCCTTTCTGTTCCTTGTTCAGATGTTATTTCCCTGTTGTGAGTCCTATATTTCCTGCCTCCTCTCTACCATTCACGTGTTTGTCTCTGCAGGGCCTTGGCTCCCAGCCTGGGCTCTAGGCTGTGGTAATCAGTCATCTCTCGTCACTGCCAGAGCCTGGCTGCAATCTCCACCCTTGCTTTTCTTTCTGTGGGCTTGGGATGTTCCTCTTATTCTACCATCATGATGGTATCTTGGGAAGGAAAGGATATATATGTGTGTGTGTGTGTGTGTGTGTGTGTGTGAATTCAGCTTGCTACCTATAACCAGACTGTCTGCTTAGCTAAAAAATACTTAGGTTACAAATCCCCCTTAGTAGGCTGAAAGCATGGTAGAGTATTGGTCGTGAGCAAGCAAGCCGAATAAACCCAAGGCACTGAGTTCAAGCCCCAGTATCACCAAAACCAAACAACCAAAAAAACCACAAAACACCCAAATACATCTCTCTTAGTTTCTTTTCTTTTTTTCTTCCTTCCATCCCTCCCTTCTTCCTTCCTTCCTTCCTTCCTTCCTTCTTTCCTGTGCTGATCCTGGGGCCTGAACTCCAGGATTCATGCTTTTGTCTGGCTTTTTTCTTTTCTCAACACCGTTTCATTTCCCCCTCAACACAGGTGCTCCACCACTTGAGCCACACCTCCACTTCCAGCTTTTTGCTGGTTAATTGGAGATTTGAACCATGAATCTCAGATCTTCAGTAATACCTGAGATTATAGGCATTAACCACTAGTACCCGACCAAGAATTGTATTATTATCCATAGATTTTTTCTTTACTAATTCTGTGCATTCTTATTTTTTGTTAGTCCTGTGGTTTGAACTCAAGCCCTTGGTTAAACCATACCTCCAGCCCTTCCCTTCCTTCTCTACCCAAAATATGCAAGCAATGGTGCTCCAGGGTGGTTTAACTTTTCCTGCAGAACATTCTGGATGTGGGAAAGGTACTGAAGATACTGGCATGGGAAGGAGAGAAAAGAGAGATGTAAGAAGCCTGGTTACTTATTTACACTTGGGATTAGATAAACCATCCAATTCTTCAGAGAGTTGCACAGAAGATGTTGAATGGGGTAGTTTGGGCAGTTAAAAGGAAAAGTTGTTTTCGCTGGGTCTCTGTGATGTACCCTCGGGCCCCTCCAGACCCCGCACCTGGGGGAATAAACGCAGCCACTCAGCCACTCCCAGTGGGACTCACTCTCTAAGAATGTCCCCTTTGAGCCACTGTGTCATTGGCTGCCGGCGTCCTCCGGCTCCCTCAGGACTGGGCGCCACTGCAAATAGGATTGTTTGCCTATAATCCGGTTGATAAGGCTACCCAGGCTCCTTTTCACTCGGAACTCCCTCTCTTAGACATCCTCAGAGGAGACAGAGAGAGAGAGAGAGAGAGAGAGACACTTTGCTGCCTGAAGACAAAGGTCTTGGGAGAAGACACAGAATCTCGGGCACATGGGTCAGCTGAGCTGTAGAAATCGGAATGTCAAGCAAGTCCACGTCCTGCTCCTGGGCCTTGACTGGGCTGGGAAGTCCACAGTTCTCTACAAACTCAAGCATGCCCAGGATTTCACCACCCTCCCAACCATCGGATTCAATGTGGAGATGATCGAGGTGGAAGATGGACCCCCGATCACGGTCTGGGACATTGGAGGACAGGAAAAAATGAGGCCCACATGGAGCCTGCACTGTGAGGAGGCTGATGGCCTGGTGTATGTGGTGGACAGCACAGACCAACGGAGGCTCAAAGATTCCTGCAAAGAGTTCAAACACATCCTGAGCAACAAACACCTCAAAAACGTGCCCGTCCTCATCTTAGCCAACAAACAAGATGCGCCCGGGGCCTTGAACGCAGAAGACATCACCAGGATGTTTAAAGTGCACAAGCTGTGCAGCAGCCGCAGCTGGTACGTGCAGCCCTGCTGTGCGCTCACCGGCAAGGGCCTGGCCGAGGCCTCAGCCAAGCTGACCTCCTTCCTCAAGAGCCACCGCAAGACCAGAGACACCCTGGCCTTCTTCAAGCAAAAATGAGGCTGCAGGTAGATGCAGAGAGAGAGATGATGGTGCAGTATGAGATAGTCACCCTTCCTGTTTGTTCTCCATTGGGATGTGAGAAAATAAAGTGAGTGGCTGAAGGTGGCTGTGATTTGGTCAGTCTACCAACTCTAGCAAATGTTTATTTCCCAGCAGGAGCCATTAGCCTCCTGCATGCTCCACGATCACTGAGAAAGAAGCGTCTCGAATACTCTGTGAAAGTTTGCACAGGTCAGATGATTCCCCCAAGACCGGTTTGGAACCCTGGGAATAATTATTGATTTGATGTGCTAAGACCAGAAAGCCACCTGCTAGTTGGGTCAGAAGTCTTTTGAATCATCTTTCCCTCACACAGGTATCGAATTTCGAGCACACTTCTCCCTAAACGCTGAGTGCTACAATAAACTGTAAATTCTGGAGAGGAAAAGCTTGGATGCTAACATCCTTTCTCAAATCCCTAGTTTTTCATTTTGTTTTGTTTTTGTCTGGATTCCTTCCAACTTTTGGAGATCCTCCTTCAACGCAGAGTCTTAAAACAATAAACCAAGTTAATGGCCCAGGAGCTGTGTCCTGTGGGGAGGGGAAAGCATTGGGCGATTGACAAAGTCTGGGGTTAAGGGAGGGCCTTGGTGGGGGGGGGGCGGTCATGGAGCATCTGACCCCAGGGCTCAGCTCCCAGCTGCAGCCCCGAGACCCATCTCAGTGGGAATCTGTGGAATCTCCATGACTTAGAGAGCTGTACTACCTCGCACCATCTCATCTGATCAAGCAGGCAGCAGCGCACACTTTGTTCATGAAGGGTGGGGAAGCAATATAAAGCCAGGAACTAGATTAGGGCAATCACCACACTAGTGGCAGGACTCTGACCTGGGGAGCAGGAAATGCCACAGAGGAGGAGGTGGTGCTGTCTACGGGGCTAGCTCACTCCCACGGACTTGGACCCCAGCAGGTGAGTCAGGGAAAGTTCCTTCACTAGGAGACGCCTCTGGCCTTTTAAGATCCAGGTGCAGCCAGAGAGGACTAGATTGGAATGCAGATTCCCAGGCCTAGAACTGCGGAAAAGTCATGATGTGTTCAGAGTCTTTCTTCCCACTCCGCCTCATCTCATTGGGCTGGATGCTGAACTTCAGTCTCCGAGGCAGCCCTCCAGACTGCAAATGGTTATTTTCTTTCTTTTAAAAAAGTTTTAATTGTTATTATAAAGGTGATGTCCAGAGTGGCTACATTTACATAAGTCAGGTAATGAATACATCTCTTGGGGCTGGGAAGGTGGCTAGAAGGCTTGCCTCGCATGCATGAGGCCCTGGGTTCGATTCCAGCAGAAAAAGCTGGAAGTGGCACTGTGGCTCAGGTGGTAGAGTTACTTTCCGTAAATATTATTTTGTATGATCAGATGCACATAGGCTTTGCACCTTTGTGTTCCTCTCTTAAGAGTGTCCTCCTTTGGTCTGGCTATGTGTGGATGCCTAGAGACCTGTGTGATTTCTCATGTCCCAGTGTATTTTAGATGTAGTTTCCATATAGGAGAAAGCATGTACTGGTTGTGGCTCTGAGCGTGGCTCACTTCACTTCACAAGTTAAATATTCTATCTTTTTTGTTTTCATTTTTTTCTTTGTGTGCCAGTCCTGGGACTTGAACTCAGGGCTTAGGCTCTGTCCCTGAGATTCTTTTGCTCAAGGCTAGCACTCTACCACTTGAGCCTCAGCACCGCTTCTGGTGTTTTCTATGTATGTGGTACTGAGAAATTGAACCCAGGGCTTCATGCATGCTAAGCAAGCACTCTACCACTGAGCCACTTCAGAGACTAGCATATTAATGTGTCAGTTTTAAACTTATACAGGACTCTCAATATTCACACACACAGCGAGACATAAAGAGGACATCCTTAAGAGAGGAACAAAAGGCCTTTGATCATATAAAATACTATTTATCTAAATGAACTCCAGGAAATGGAAACAAGTTTTTTTTTCCTTTTCTTTTCATTTTGTCTTGTTTGTTCATTTATCTGTCTTTGGGAGGAAAGGAAGGCACAGAAATGGAGGGACAAAGGATGAACAAATGCAGCAGTGATTCTAGAAAATGAGCTATACAATTTGTGGGTGGGGATGGGAGGGAAAAACTGGGTGAGAGCAAGGGAAGGGGTGAAGTCGCTTAAAAGAGAAATGTACCCTCTCTCTATCTGACACGTAACTGTGACCCCCTCTGTACACCACCTTTATCTTAACAATGAAATATTGAATAAAAATAAGAGTAAATCCAGTGTTAAACAATAAAAATAGAAACTGAAGGTTGGAGTCTTCTGATGATACACATGCGTTTTGTCAAACCAAAGAAGGAGCAGGAATTGGCCAGCTCGAAGGAGCCGTCTCAGAAGCCACTGATCACTGAGGTGTGCAGGACGCGTGGAAATGTGCCCCAAGCAACGAGCACTCTCTGAGCTCCACTGTGCAGACTTTAGTGCCAGCCTGCTCTTGTTTGGCAAACTTTCTCCCAAGATTGAGTCAGAGACAGACAGACAGACTTCTCCTTTGGCAGTGCTACTGGGCATCTTCACATTTTAATATAACCTAAGAATGCCAGAAGGTTCTAGTCCACCAGATATTTACCATAGTCCTATTAGCAGATTAAATGCTTTCACCTATGAAAAAATACACTTTATCTGAAAGGTGCTACACTAATGTGGAGGATGGTGGTTAGATGACTCAAGCATGGGAGTAGTGTTTTCACAGTTACTCTAGTTTTGTTCCCTCAGAAATCATGTTGGGGTCAAAAACGATTTTTCCGCCTTATTTTAAGAATATAAGGAAACTAAGCATTACTCAACCTAGATTAAATAGACACATGTGTGTGCGCACACACACACACACACTCACACTCACTCACACTCACTCACACAATGAAGTAGGCAATAATGTGACCCATAGAGATTTTACCATCAAATCTTGTTTCTAAGGATTGAATGTAAATATGGGCCAAGGTGTTTCTTTGGCGCCAAATTTAGAAGATAATGTCTTTTTTCCTTCAAGCCCCACCTCCACCAGCAAAGAGTCTTAAGTCTTTCTTCAAAAAGCAGGACTCCAGCTTAGAAGTGTGGTTCGGGTGGTAAAGCGCCAGCCAATGAACAAAAGCATTAGATACTGAGTTCAAGTCCCAGTCTCGGACAGAAATAAATAAATAAAATAAAATAAATAAAAAGCAAAATCCTATTTCAAACATAATGAAAGCAAAACCAGCTGAGGATATGGCTGAAGTACCTGCCCAGCAAGCACAAGGCTCCAAGTTCAAATCCCTGTACAGCTACCCAAAAATAAAATCTATGTTGCTGTCTGCCTGTCTGTGTACCTCCTTCTGTCTGCTTGTCATCCTACTAGTGTCACAAGGACACTGACAGAATTCTCCGTAAGGATTTGGCCCAAATAGCCCTGAGCTGGTGGTTCATGCCTGTAATCCTAGCTACTTAGGAAACTGGGATCTAAGGATCATGATTCAAAGCCAGCCTAGGCAGGAAAGTCTGTAAGACTCTTATCTCCACTAAACCACCAGAAAATTGGCGCTATGGCTCAAGTGGTAGAGTGTTAGCCTTGAGCTGAAGAACTGAGGGACAGCACCCAGGCCCAGAGCTCAAGACCCACGACCACCACCACCAACAACAAAAAGAATTTGACCCAAAGGATCTAAAAAATGAAAATTGTATTGCATCATTCCCCAGCTTAGCCTCCAACCCCACTTCTTACCCAATCTGGATATTTATGTAAAATACATTGACCTGGACACTGGTGGTTCGCTCCTGTAATCCTAGCTACTCAGGAGGATAAAATCTAAGGATTGAGGTTCAAAGTCAGCCTGGGTAGAAAAGTCCTTAAAACCCTTATCTCCAATAAACTACTCAGTAAAGGCCAGAAGTGGCACTGTGGCTTGAGTGGTAGAGCAATAACCTTGAGCCAAAGAAGCTCAGGAACAGTGCCCAGGTCTTGAGTTCAAGCCTCAGGATTGGCACACACACACACACACACACACACACACACACACACACACACACACACACACAAAGCATTTATTGTATGTGACTAGAGTTTTCTGTATCTGACAATATTCTCTAAATCTTATATAGTGGGTTTATATAGCTTTTTAAAATTAAATTTTTTTTGTCAGTCGTGGGGCCTGAACTCTGGGTCTGGGCGCTGTCCCTCAGCTCTTCAGCTCAAAGCTAGTGCTCTACCACATGAGCCACAGCGCCGCTTCCAGCTTTTTTTTCCCCCTGCTAATGTGGTGCTGAGGAATTGAACCCAGGGCCTCATGCATGCAAGGTAAGCACTCTACCACTGAGCTACCTTACCAGCCCCTTATATAGCTTTTATATTCAAGAACAGAACATGTGTCTTAAAAAGATTTAATCATGTTTGCTTCTGAGTGGAAAAGGCATTTCAAATGCATTAAAGTATTAATAAAACCTTTCAAAGATAAGAAGTACTGTAACATATGGACAGAAGAGGGCGCTGTAACCAAGGTTTAACACTAACAACAAAACCCCCCCAAACCAGAACAGCTAAGGCATGCTAACACTACACTGCAGGCTAGTGTCTAAGTATTCATATATATTATCTCACTTTCTCCTCACACAACTCTGTAGGGTAGTAACATTATCACCATTTGCAGGGAAGAAATCTGAGACTCCATCCCTCCAGCTGCCTACAATCATGAAAGGAATTCTCTGTCTTCTTATAAAGTTTAAGTAACAACTCTTAGCTGTATCACACCTCTGTATAGTTTCAGCTGTATCTTTACGCTATGTTGTACTTTCCATTATTAAACACTCTAATGCCATACAAAAGTCTAACTAGGAAACAGAGAAGACATATTTAATAAAATTCAGGATATTTTTTGACAGAAATGTATCAAAGTTAGAAAGTAGGGAAATGCAACTCTATTAGCATTTTCTACTTTTTCTTGCAGTCTTTATTTTTCTCTTCATGTGTATTTATAGTCAATATATCTT